CCTGCTGATGGGGGAGCTTTGGTCAATGCATAATGTGGGTACACAATGCACACTGCGGGGAGAGGGGAGACCAAAGGACAGAGAAGAATTTTTGTGTTTAAATTTTTCTTGTCTTGCCATAAATACGAATCTTATTTCACATTGTCAACCCTGGCTGCCTATTTGAATCACCTGAAGAGTTTTAAAATACTGGCACCTGGGTGTATAGTAGGTTAATGTTAGAATTTCTGGTAGTGGAGGCAGATACCAGTATTTTTTGAAAGCTGCTCAGATGATTGTAATGCACAGCCCAGGCCTGTAAACCTCTGTATACTAAGTTTAAAGAGCATTAATCTAACCCAGTGGTTTTGTGTCAAATTGTGATTCCTGGATCATTAGCATCACCTCAGATCTTGTTGGAAATGCAGATTTTTCAGCCCCACCACAGGCTTCCTGAATCAGGAACTTTGGGGATGAGGCCAGCAATGTTTTACCAATTCCCACTCCCACAGCCCCCACCAAGAAATCCTGATGCACACAAGTTTGAGAACCACTGATTTGACCAAATAACCTCTTTATTTCTCTTAGTTCTCTGAGGTGTGTGTTTACAAAGATACTTTATAAGCTAATATTGTAGTAAGCAGCCAGAAAAACTTTTAAATAAGGTCATTCTCAAATATATTTACTTTCTCCTGCTGTATTATATAGAACTGTAATGTTTGATGGCTAAGGATGTGAATTCTATTACTCTAAACACCATGATTCTAGACATATAGACATGTAATAAGCAAATGTAGGAGATGAAGCTGACCAAAGTACGCCCTCCAGAAGTAGGTATTTTTAATAAAATCCCAAGTTCTTTTCTTGGTCTCTTAAAGTACAGAGTGATTTGGAGGCACATATGTGTTTACTACATCAAAATATACTTACATGCAATAACAACACCAACTAGTAGTTGTATGTGACTATGTATAATACATTATGCCAGTAGAAAGCAGTACAGTTGACAACTATCACAGTCAACTCTCCAGTGATAATTTTGCAAACAAACGGCTCTCCAGAGCTGCAGTTTTGCAACTGGATATTCAATCAACCGCAGATTGTATAGTACTGTAGTATGTATTTATTGAAAAAAATCCATATGTAAATGGACCCGTGCAGTTCAAACCTGTGTTATTTCAACGGTCAAGAGTAGTCTAGGTTTGCTCTACATCTCATGCTAATTACTGGTAGAAACTTTTTTTGGTTGGTATGTTTTTAGGGAAAGTTTTTTTTTTTTTGCGGTACACAGGCGTCTCACCGCCACGGCCTCTCCCGTCGCGGAGCACAGGCTCCGGACGCGCAGGCTCAGTGGCCACGGCTCACGGGCCCAGCCGCTCCGTGGCATGTGGGATCTTCCCGGACCGGGGCACGAACCCATGTCCCCTGCATCGGCAGGAGGACTCCCAACCACTGCGCCACCAGGGAAGCCCTAGGGAAAGTCTTTTAAGCCCCATCAGATAAAATGAACTAAAACAGCTCAATGAGATAACGGAATTTTATTTACAGCCATTTTCATTTACTGTATCACATCTTCAGGATAGTTGGTAACTTATTTAAAGGCTATGCTCATGTTCTTCAGGCTGTAGGTAGAAGACTCCCCAGAGTAGCAGTAATTGTCAATCAGAAGCTCTTAAGTAGGAGAATTGTCGTAGGAATTCTTTGCCTTTACATATCCCTGAAATAGTGTTCATGTATAAACAAATGCTTGTCTTATAGCTAGACACAGGCTTGATTAGTTTTTCAAATACTCTAGCCATGGCAATATCTTATTTGGGAAAACTAAACTGAGACAGAATTGCTCAACTCATAAGTTCTCCTGTCATTAATACGTACATGTTGACTGCTAAAAACAGTAACTAAAATTTATTACAGAATGCACTGCAGGATAAAGCTATAGGGATAAAAAGAAAAATTGCATTCAGAATTTTCTTAGTATAGTAGTTTTAAACTTAGTATAGTTTTAAAACTGATACTAGCCTGTAAGTAGTTATGAGCAATAGTAACTTGTATGCTCCACCTTGCCGGTACTTTGTATACTAAAAGTTACATATTTTGTATACTAACAAACAATCTGATTATATATTCTGATTAGCTAGAAGTTGCTAATTTTCATTCTTCTGCCACCAAGAAAAGCATAGTTTATTTATGGGGAAAGGGATTTAAATACTCCTAGAGGTACTTTTTTTAATCTTTAACCTAAGGCTTGATTTTCTTCCAATAACGAGTAATTCTGTTTGCTTTCTAAAAGTTTTTTATTTTTTAAGGTATGGTTAATAAGATGCCTTATCATCACATCTCCCCCCCAAAAAATATTATTATAATATTGGGTGTGATATTACCCATATTATTATAATATTAGGGTGATATTATCCCCTATTTTTGATATCTTTGATATTTCATGAGAAATGATTTCATGAGACATCATTTTGATTTTACCTAATTGTTATCTAAAAGGGAACTAATCATCTTTATTTGCTTTAAGAAATATTTTACAGGCCTGGATATTTCATTTTAGTTTTGTTATGCTCTTGTTTTGGTCAGTTTAGTTTAATTCAGAAGCATCCTAGCAGTATGATTGGTGCAAAGCTCAGATTCTGTAGTACAGACAAGTTGTCAAGGTCCCTATAAGTTATGTGGCTAATCAAGCTAGTGACATTAATTTTAACTTTGTGTTCTGTACTTAAACTATGAGGCTGTGTGCAGTTTATCAAAATAAACCATAAAGATGAAGGTGTGTAAATGGACTACAAATGATTCTGATTTGTAAACTAGGGAGGCATCTGGTGTTTGACCTTAAAGGCCAGGGAAAGAAGGTGAAGGCCGTTTGTTTCAACCACTCTCATACTTCCTTTTAACCACTGCCATACTTCCTTTCTTCTCCGAGAACTGCTCTTAGAGCCTGGTGTCATCATTAGCATGTAGTTGCTAATGATACAAACAAGAATGTACATGTAATCAGAAGTGGGCAAGCCTCCGGAGGTTCCTTAACTGCTTTTAAAAAGACTGGAAAAGAAGACTAAACCAACATATTATTCAGCTATGAAGGTGAAACCAGGGATGGTTTCCACTATAGCATCTTAAAAACAGACAGATTGAAAGCTTATCAGCCAATTTTTAAAAAGCTACAGGACAATATTAGTAGTTCTACAGAACTGGGAGCTGTGGTGTGTGTGTGTACATTTCCCCATTTATCACTCAACTGACTGCTTTACAAAGCTGTTTTTGTATTCAGCTGCTACAATGTTAGGAAAACCACCAGGACAGCCTCCAGTTCAGCCTCATTTATCACTTAACTGTTCACTTGAAACATTACTCATGTGTATTAATTTTCTGAAGTATTATTCAGATCACACCAGCACAGTGGAACCTTCAGCCTTTGGCAGGAGCTCCCCATGAGCATTACGCACAGACAGTAACATTTCCCTATGCGTGTGTGTGTGTGTGTGTGTGTGTGTGTGTGTATGCACAAATACATTAAAAACATTTAATACAAAATTGTACATTACATGAAGTAGACCATTAGAAAGCATCCTAAAAGTACAGAGAAAATGCATGCAGAGAGAGCCCACTGAAGTACAAAGCCTGTAGGATATATAATTTTAAGTTTATATTTCCTGCAGGATGGTGACATATGTCTTTTCCTACCCAGAGGCAAGATGTACTTTCCAAAAACTTGGACACTGCCCATTGCATTAAATTTAAATGTTCCCTGTGTATATAGACAGTAAAAGTAAGCAAAAAAAACTTACACATTCCTTTTTTTAATATATCAAAAATGTTTCCAAGGCAACATCATTAAAATGATTATACCACAGTTCCTAATAACATCAAGCTCTAAAAGGAAGGTACAGAGAGGGCAGAAAGGTTTCATCCAGTCAGTGATTTAGGTGCTCTTCTTTTCCTCACCCAGTAAATTCACAGCAGCTTTCTTGGCTGTTAGGAGGAAAGAACATTGCATCAGAGCTATTTGCAATGCGGTTCTGTGCCTAATGTAGCTACTAGATTAGCAACTTGGATGACTCATGCTCAGATGAGAACATACCGAGGTTTGTGGGCAGGGCTAGGAGAGTTTCCCGGAAATGTACAAGAGACCTCTTCAAGGGCAAATCCTGAGTACTTGAGCAGAGTTACTGAAGCTCGTCTGGCCTAGCCCCCTTGTAGTGACTGTCACCTAAGCCATTGCCCTCTGTCCTCCTTTAAGTATCACAAGAAGTAGAGATTCCTTGAGCGTATAGTGTCCCCTGTACATTCAAGAAATTCTCCTTTGTGTCTTGAGCGCTCACCTGTACAATTTCACTGTCTCAATCTGATGACAACAGGGTCGGCTGTCTATGTCTTGGTGACAAAAATCAGAGAAAATCATCATTCCCCGAATCAAGAAATGGTGGAATACTTAGATGCATGTTTATGTTCTATCGTTGTGCCACCATTTCCTTGTATGATGGGAAGAGTTTGCTGTACGTCTTCAAGTTCATGGCACGAAGCTACATTCATCAGGAAAATATTCTTATATCTGTGGGAGATTAAGCCCCACCTACCCTGCCTAATTACCAAGTGGCTTGAAATGTGCTGTAAGAACAAGTGTGATATGCGTGATGGGGCAGGGGGGAGTGTTCTGGAAGCCTCCAGGCCTCCTGAGATTCCACAAACTGCAGCTGTTCTTGATGGAGCCCCAAGGGGAATGCCAGCCAAGGAGGCCCTTCTTGTTCACCAGCTGCCTGACAGCTGCTCTCCCTTCACTCAGTTAAAATTGCTGAACAAAGTTTACACAGAAACTGCAGCTTCTCTCTTAACTAGCCTTTTGCAAAAATGTCCTTTTTGGAGAATCCAGAAACTCAGAGAAAAGTCTAAAATGTGTCAGCACCTAAATTTCTCTTAACTTATTTTCATTCTCACACCTCTGTTTAGGAATGTATCAAAGTAAAATCGGATTTCAGAGTACTGAGATCTGAGAGAATCAAAGACTAAGAAATGTGGGCAAACTAGACAGAAATGACATCACCAGAGGTTGCTGGTTAGGCTAAGAGCAAGGAGGAACAGTTAAGAAATCTCTTAAAAAGGAACTGACGATTCCAAAGCGGGAGGATGTGAAGAAACTAAAAAACGTTCTGAAGGAGACTGGAGCCATGTGCCCATCGTGAGAGAACGGCCTGTTGTGGGGGTGGTGGGGGAGAGCACACCACTGCGGGGACACACAGCTGCCGGGGGACCGTCTGGGGGATCTTCCTTCCCCAGGGGCCAGGTCACCTCTTGTCTCCCACTTTCTCATTATTGTAGAACTTTTTTTAATTCTCTAATTCTATGCCCATTCTCCACTTTTTAAAACCCTTACTGTGCCCTCTGGAATTTCAGTCCCATCGTTAGCGAGATCTCCTCTGTCCTCATCCATTTCTCTGAATGTTTCCTTCACCTTGTTGCTTTTACAGAAACCTGGCTGTCCCCTAAGGACACTGCTTTCTCAAGTGTCGGCTGTTTTTTCCTTCCATGACCCTGGTACTACTGGGTCTGGAGGTCCAGAAAGCGTCCTTTGTTCTTCAGGGCCATGTTCAGAATCTCATGTCATCAGATTATCTTTCCCACTAGCCCTTCTTTTTCCAGTCTGCTGACCCTTGGGCTGTGCTGCCTCATTTCTTTAAGATTTTAACTCCAAACTTAATATCACTCTCTAGCACTAACTCTTACTTTAATTATCAGTGATTACGATATTGTTCCAGTATCCTGGCCTCTTGGTTCCTCCCCTCCAATAACCTTGACATTCCACCCTAGCTGCTTCAGCCTACCTCACGTCCTCACTGTCACAACCAGTAATGGCTGCCCCTCTCCGGTCTCAGCGCCGAGCGGCCCACTCCACCATCACCTCCTGCCTTTGCAGCCCGCTCCCTCTATTTTCCTGACTCCGAGTTCTTCTTCCCCCACCACCTGGTTGTATAATCCATCGATTCTATCGCCCCTTTCACTGTTCCTCACTTCCCTTTTGTCCTCACTTCCCTCCTCCGCCGTCAAACATGAACCACTCATTAGATCCCCCTTCAGAGCTCCTACTTAACCAAGTCAGCCCGGACGCAGCTCTCCATCTACCCCACAGCTGCACCCACACAGCTGGAAATGTGGCTGGAAAAGAAGACACAAGCAGACTACGTGGCCTCACTATAAGTCCAGGAACACAAACCTCCCGTGAGCCTCTAATGCCCCCTGGCGATCACACGACACTGTCCCAGTCCATCCACTCTTGCCTGTCTTAGAGCGGCCAGCACATTACAGTTACACGCACTGGTCACCGTGTCACCTCTGGCTGCGTGTTGCGTGAAGCTACAATGGCAGGGTTGAGTAGATGCCACAGAGACCTGACAGCCGGCAAAAGCTGAAGTATTATTATCTGACCCGTTACAGAAAAAGCTTGCTGACCCTCATCCTAAGTAACTATTTCATACCATCTCCCCTTTCTATCACCTCCTTCCCCACCCTCTCTCAGTTGACCTTCTTTCTTCCTAGTTTACTGAGGAATTTGAAGTGATGAGAAAATCACTTCTGTAAGCTCTCACCATCACATTCGCTCAGCTACCAGCATCTTCACCCATCAACACTGATTCCCCCTCTATGATTCTAAACTGTTCCCGATCCTACGACGGATCCCTCTATTTGTACTCTAGACCCTGTCCCCTCTGGTCTATTCCAGGACAGAGCTCCAGCAATTCACCTTCTCACTCCTATCATTTTTTTGCTCTCTACTGGATCATTCCTATTAATTTTCAAACCTACTTTGTTTCTTCTACCTTAAGAAAAAGAGAAAATCATCCTCAGGACCCTAGTACCTTCCTCCAGTTACAGCCCCATTCTTCTACTCCTCTCTGCGGGAAACTTCTCAAAAGACTAATCTGTGTTCTCTCATGCCCTTCCTCCCATAAAATCCGTTCTGATCAGGATTTTGCTCTCGCCACCCCACAAACTCTGTTTTGTCAAGACCACTAGTGCCTTCCTCACTGTTAATCCAAGAGTCAGTTTTCAGCCCTTATCCTTCTTGACCCGCCTGCACCGTGTGACCACGGACCCCTCCCTCCTCTTTGAAACAGTGTCTTCACTTGGCCCCAAGGATACCAGAGTCTTGGGTTTTCTTGCTTGCTCAACTGGCCAATCCTTATCAGTCTGCTTTTTTGGTTGCTTCTCATTTCTTCGATCTCTAAATATTGGTGGCCACAGGGCCCAGGCCTTAGACTTCCTCTTTTCTAACTACACTCACTCCCTTGTGATCTCATCCAGTCTCATGCTTATTATACTGTCCATATGTGGGTAACCCCCCTCCCCCAATTTCTGCTGACTTCTCCATGTACCCAGTAGACATAAAGTTATGTCCAGAACTAAATTCCTTATTTTCCCCTCTACACCTGTTAACACCCAGTCTTCCCCAGCTCAGTGGCAATTCTATCCTTCCATGTGTTCAGGCTAAAAAAGCTTGGCCTCGTCCTTGACTCCTCTCTCATACTCCATGCCTGATCCATAAGCAAATCCTACTGGTTCCAACTCCAAAACATATCAAGGATCTGACTTCTTACCTCCTACTGCTACCACTACAAACAAGTCAAGCCACCACCACCATCTTCAGCCAGATCACCACAATAACCTTTTAACTGGTCTCCTGATTTCCTTCTTGTCCCCCTTCAGTCTATTCTTAATACAGTGGCCAACATAAGCCTGTTCCAACAGAGGACGAATCATGTTGCTCCTTTGCTCACAGTTCTCCAGTGGCACCCCAGCTCACGCCCATCTCACACAGAATAAAAGCCAAACCCCTTACAACAGCCTGGAGGGCATTATACGATCTGTCCTCTTCCAGCTCCACTCCCCAGCCCCTCTGACCTTGTCTCCTTCAACTCTCTAGATCACCCCCTACCAATCATACTCTGCCCGCTTCCAGCTTTTGCACGTGCCGTTTCTTCTATCTGGAGCTTTCTTCCCCATGGTTCCTACCCTTAACACTTTCAACTTTGACTCAGTACAGCCTTCTTTGTGAGGATTTGCTACATCACTCTATTTAAAATTGTAACCTTCCCTTCAGCCCCTGGCACTCCCTATATTTCTATCTGCTTAATTTTTCTCTGTATCATCTGCTAAGTATGTCATATAACTTGCTTTTCAATGGTATTGTCTCTCTCTCTCTCAACAAGATTGTAACCTTCAAAAGTTCACTATGGTCCATTGGTCTGTCTGGTTCCCTGGTTCATGCCCAGTGCTATGAACACACTTGGCACATATTAAGCACCTCAACAAATAAGTATTTGAATGAAAGGATCAGGAGAGCTGAGAGAGAGGGCATTCTCTTGGCCCTCTAACAAAAGCAGTGTGAACAGCATATTAAGCAGTTCAACCTGAAATGAATTAAAGAGATTGCACTTGTGTATAAATAAAGATGACTCTCTGAAATCTCTACCCACCAAAGGAAAGTCATTTTTCCTAAAGTGCTGACTGAATGATGTGTTTTACGTGACATGGCAGAAGAATGTCGGGAAAAGTAAAGGCAAGAGGCAAAGTCCTGGGAAAGAAATCCCGGACTAGCCCTGGCACACGGCTGAGGAAAGGTTATAGGACACGAAGTGAGGAAGCTTGTTACGTGGGCTCAGTATATCCCATGTCCTCTCACACGCTGAATCAGCTGTCCCCGAGCCATACCTTCTTTAGAGATGGCATCTGCAGTCTCTTTGGCTTTGTCCTTCAAGTCATTCACCACGTTGTCTACCTGCGACTCGTGCTTCAGGAAGAAAGGACGGATGATGCGCGTGTAGAGCAGGTCCGCTCCGTTGGCCGGGCTGGGAGCCATGCACCACAACAGGAAGCCGCACTGCACAGAGGAGAGGCAGCATGGTGACAGAGGGCAGCGGCATCTGACAACACACACTGCCACCACTACTCTGGGGATGGCACTGCCTCTGCTATTTGCCCCAACAGCATTTCCAGTGTTTCCTGCAGGATACAGGTGCACTTTTCTTAGATGGAAAAAACATGACAAATAATGACCTAGTAAGGAAAAGCTGAGACTGACAAAGAAAGGCAAAACACACCAAGTCCAGCAGCTTACCTTCCTTCCTAACTTGGGCCACTTTTTAGTTGACAGTTACAAGAGACTTTTATTAATTATAACTCTTAATCAATTAAAAAATAGTATTTATCTGCATGTGTAAACCCTGTCCACATAGGTATCTATGAGGCTTGTTCTCAACAGGCTTACCTCAGTAAGTTTGTCACCGTTATTCATCCTGTTATAGAAAATACCCTGGCCATTCTTGAATTCTTCCCTTAGTGGGATCTCAGTTTTGGGTAGATCTTAGCCTTCAAGGAATCTTTACAGTCAGCTGTTCATCATCTTTCACCTTGAATGTAGATATTATTCCTAACTCTTTCTTTATGGCTCTACTTTGCTATTGAGATGAAAAATTGACAAGAGTTCTACCCTAAAAACTTACACAACAAGAATTGTCACACTATGTTTACTTTGAAAAACCTTTACTGTTTATTCAAATGATAAACAACTCAGCACTTTAAGTTGTCCAAGCAATTTATTCCTCTATAATATAATGAATGAGCAAAAAAGGGAACATTCAGAATGATATGCTCATTTCCCTAGAATGTTTGATAAACAGCATACTGTGTTCTTTCAGCTTAAAAGCTTCTAACTATATTGTATTCCACACAGCATAGGTGACTCTATAAAAAAACAGGAGTCCATTTCTTGAGATTCCAATTCTGTAGTTTTTACTTCTCCTTAAAGTAAAAACCTTTCAACTTCTTATGCCATATATATTTAATTCTATAGTCCTTTTACTCCAAACCAAAGAATGTATTCAAATAATCAAGAAGCTACATTCCTTTCTAAGATGGTCTTTTAAGTTTGCTCTAGAGATGCAAACCTGCTAAGGAGCTACTACTAATGACAGAGAGCTTGAGTTAAAATGCATACATTTGTGCCCAAAGCTCACCCCAGCAGTACCACGTTGGCTCTGAGAAATTTCCATTACACTTTGAACTTCTATGACATTCAAAATACAAAACAAAATGCAGGTTCTAAACAGATTAGGGTCGGGGGGCGAGCTTTCAAAAGACAGGGGTTACCAGACTGGATTTTAGAAAAACAAACTATGGCTATATGCTTCTGATAAGACACACACCAGAGGGGCTTCCCTGGTGGCGCAGTGGTTGAGAGTCCACCTGCCAATGCAGGGGACACGGGTTCGTGCCCCGGTCTGGGAAGATCCCACATGCCGTGGAGTGGCTGGGCCCGTGAGCCGTGGCCGCTGAACCTGCGCAGTCCGGAGCCTGTGCTCCGCAACGGGAGAGGAGAGGCCACAACAGTGAGAGGCCCGCATACGGCAAAAAAAAAAAAAAAAAAAAAAAAGAAAGAAACACACCAGAGATAAAACCAATTAGGAACACTGAAAATAAGGAGATGAAAAAAGATGTATCTGACAAATACCAACTCTCAAATTAGCTCACATATTATAGTAATATTAATAGTACATAAACATAAGGCAAAATAAATAAAGTGATAAAGAAGGAAAGCAGTTTGTCAAGGAGAACAATTTGCCTGAACCTATATATCTTTGAAATACGTAAATATATATAGCTTTGTATTTTTTATATTTACAATTATATAAATTTTAATTTTTATAATTGTGTAGTTTATAATTATATATCACTTCCAAATATAGCTTTGAGATGTATAAACTTGAAAGTCAGAATTATATAGATAAATGGACAAAATCCACAATCGATTTTTAACATTTCCATCAGAAATTGATATATCAAAAAACTAGAAATCAGTAAGAATACAAAGCAAAATACACAAAACTTAAAATCTTGATCTAAAGATATACACAGATCTCTCCACCCAACAAACTGGGGACTAAGAGAATTGTATACTACGGTATATAGAGGTAAGAGAACTGGGTTCAGAAAAACTGGTTCCAGTCTTTTTACTAGCTGGGAAAACCTTGTGCAAGTTACTTAATTGCTTAAGTCTGTTTTGACTCTATAAAAAAATATATATATATTAATAGAAATTTTAAAAATCTACCTCATACAGATTTTGTAAGAAAATAAGAAGCACTTTGAGCATCTAGCATAGTAAGGCTCTGTCCCTCTCCCAAGAATACTGTGTCTTTTACCAACATCCATGAAACAGTAACAAGCTACCTCATAAGAGCTTTAAACCAGGTAAAATCAAATCCCAGGACCAACATACACCCTTTTTAAACAATTATTTTGTTCTTACCTCTCCTTTTACTACCTGAAATGAAATTCAAAGTCATGATATACTTACATACACAATTACAAAATAAAAAAAAAATAGTTTTCTAACTGGAATATAAAGAAAAAAAAAAGTAATTTAAAAAAAAACAATGTATTTTAAAATGTAAATATTCAAGCCAAACTATATTAGAGAACAACATAAAATAATAAGTAGAATCAGTGACTATTAACAGCTACAGACAAAATTTTCTCCATGTATTCCCAAGAGGTTGCCTGCTTTCCATATCAGAGAATTCAGCCAAATGCAATTCACTGCCACAATCTCCAAGTTATGATTTCAAGCCAGCCCTCTCTTCACCTCTCCCACCCCTTATGTGCGACAGACTCCAAAACTCATTTACTGAAAATGGGATGTTCAGAGTTAGGAAAGCAAAGGATGGGAAAGCATGGCAGTAGGAAGGGGAAGGGCAAAGATTCAGACTGGCCATCTCGTAGTCTCACTACAGCTGTATGTGCAACCACCCAAAACTCCAGTGAGCCCGCACAGACACACAGTGGCAAGTAAGACCTTCTGTTACAGGTCCAAGCTCTTAAATGAAGCCAATTCCTTGAAATATCCTCAGTCTTCAGTGTGTGTGTGTAGCTCCACGTTTACTTTTAGTTTTCCCAGTGACTCTGCTCCAGCACACACTGGGCTTGGCCAGCCATCCTTGTGAAGATGTGCCAGAGAAACTTGGTTTTCTGAACTACACATTTGCATTAACCCAAAGTATGGAACTAAGTGTGATTAAGTGTGACTGCAGTTTTCACTGGCTTTAGCTTTAATGTCCTCTGCTTACAGCCAGGTTATTAACAGGCAGACCCTAGAGACCATCTCTCTAGTTGACATTTCCCTGTGGTTTTTAGTATCCAAACATTCATGTTTTCCATCATTTGTTGTTGTTATTTTGTTTTGTTTTTTTTCCGGCCACACACACAGCATGCGGGATCTTAGTTCCCCAACCAGGGATGGAACCCGCACCCCCTGCAGTGGAAGCGCAGAGTCTTAACCGCTGGACCACCAGGGAAATCCCTCCATCAGTTGCTTATATAGGTAACGCTAATACATACACACACACCTAAAACTTAATAAAACAATTTAGACAAAATGATATACAGGAAAAGGAAAAGTTACATTCTTGACAGAACATCGGAATTCTGTGTGGACATTTTGAAGAGAATGCAGTGTCCAAGGGGATGTGCCATGTACTACTTACTGCAAACAAAGCAATAGTTTCCCACCAACTATATTAACTATTTGGAGAGCAGGAACTATTTGGATTTAGTTTTTAGCATCTAACATCCAATATATTTGTTATTTATACAGGGGCATCTTGTTGTATTAATATTTAGGAAATTGGCATGGAGTTTTAAATTGACATGTAATACATTTTAATTTTTACTATTTAATATTGTAAGAAATAGTCTCCTGGCTGGTATTCCTACGTAGAATATCTAATTGTCAGGAATGGATTATTGATGTAGACACACGTGCCCGTAGGCCTCAAGGTGAAGTAGAAATGACTCACTGGGTTAAGAATCAGGAGAGTTGGTATCTGTTCTATGACTTTTGGTAAATCAAACAACCTAAGAGTCGATTTTCTCTTCTGCAGGATTTTTAGGAAAGTCACAAATTAAAAAACGTACAAGATAGTAGTAGTATTACCAAGTCCTACAGTTCTTACTGTTGTTGCAAAATCTCTGAAATATTACCTGCCTATTGCAGATAACAGCCCTTCAGCAACCCAGAAAAGCTGATTCATTCACCTTTTCTGGATGAATTAAGTAAGCATGGCTACCAGACAGGACCAGAGCCAAGAGTCTACATTTTTGTACCTCTGCAATGTGATTAACTTTATAGGCTATTCTCCAGGAATTTTAGTTTAACTGTTTAGTTAGTTCTTTCTGGTACCCTCTAGCTATCGTCTTGAGACAATAAAATAATTACTGCTCTTTACCTACATCGTGAGCATTTTCCAGTTCTCATATGAAGTAACTTTCTTGTATTAAAAATAAAGTTAATTACTATTCAACTCTCAAGGTGATATTCAGCCACCAGCTTTTAAAACTCCCTTTTCTTAATCTATGTAACTATGTAACTACTCTACAGCCAAGGAATACCCTGAGCTACACAGATCTGGCCATCGTTTTAATCAAGCTGCCCTCAAAGTGCCAGCTGACGAAACTTCCAACGGCAAACACAAACCCACTCAGACAGAGTTCAGACAAAGAGTCCGGGCACGCCACTTCAACTCAGCTCTCGGCTCTATTAGCAATGACACACTAAATCCTTAAATTACGAATTACAACAGGCCAGATAATTCTGTCTATGATTCTAATGCTGTCACTATTCAATTTTCCCCTAGAAGAGGTATTTTCAAGGTAGGGATGTATTTAATATGCACGGTTTGGGACTAGCCTGGTGAGAACTGAGAGTTAATGCCAGAAAAAATGTATTTCAACACTGACTTCCTGGTATGCTGCAATCACTTGATCAGAAACAGAAACCTTGGGAAGCCTTTGCAACACAGCCACGAGAATAGTAATGGGCTAAAG